TAAAACACATACAATTATAAATCTTATCAAAAATTTATTCCCTTTCATGCTGTTTATTTTAATTTTCAAAAGTTACTTACAATAAATATTTATTTTATGAACAGAGTTCACCATTTGGCTTGACAGATGAAACATCTAATTTATCCATCAAATGAGTTGCGAGACAAAGCCAAAGTAATTGCTACCATTTCTACTAAAGTTAAACCTACGTACAGTGTAGACTGTTTAGGAGCAGATAAAGATTTGGCAAGTGGTATTAAGTGGTCTGACGTGGAGTATGTTATCATCCTGATATGCTTTAGCAGTCATTGACAGTCATTGACAAGACAAGGAGAACTAATAATCACAACTACTAAAACTGGGCAATGGATATATTCCCTAGATATAGGAAGTCAGAGACACTTCTCACCCTACCAAATGACTAGAGTCCTTGGGGACTGTGTTGTACTAGGTAAAGAGATATTTTGGTCAGTACGTTAGACGCCGATAGTAGCCACAACAGCAGTAATATGCAAATAAATGAAGATGAAGATGCAATCCAAATCCTTAGCCCCGGGTCTTATATAGATATTATTATGTAGCTGAAAATTGGAATGGAGACCTTTGTATCTCTGAGAGTAATGCTGAAAACGTGGTTGTTGTTGATCAAACATAAAAATCCGATTTCGTTATGACGGTTCACTGGCTAAGAGGAAGGAACCACTTGATCCTTTAACAAATAGTAACAGATTCTATGGGACACATCATAGTGGCAGATGAATACAATGACTGTTCAAACATTTTAGATCAGAATGGTACGTTCCTGATGTGTTTACTTTGTAGATAACTGTATAATAGACTAGATAAGCTTAGTGGATTGAGTGTTGTTTGTTTAGTTAGTATTGGGAGGTTATGGGTAAGACTTAAAGGATCTATCGACTTGAAAGTGAATAGATACATGAGAAAAACGGTAATGCACATATTTTTCATTCCATGTTTGTTAGTTGTACCCTGTAAAATATGCACTGGAAAAAATTCCAGCATAGACCATACACTTGAATCTATATATAGTGACAAAAACATGATCTAATGTATAAGGTAAAGATAACGACCAGTAATCGATCTCAAAATGTCCATAAACAATACAAATATGTGAAGAGGGCATAAACACGGACCCCTGGAAATTTCAGAGGGGCAATCAGGTGCCTAGGAGGAATAAACATCCCCTGTTGACCCGTCACACCCGCCATGAGCCCCATGAATTGATCAGGTAGACGGAATTATCCGTAGTCAATTCAGTACAAAAACAAAGGCCTAACAATTGATATTAAACAAGTCAGCCAAAAAACGACCCTAGGATAGGTTATATTTGCTAACAAGGTCATTATAACGGCCATACAGTTTACGATATGCTGACTTCAAACGAGGCTGTTAAAATCCCTGAAACATCAACTTATCAGTGAGTAGTCTGTCTCGCTTTAAAATGAGATCGTTCTCAGAGCAAGCTCTTGAGTATCGAATAAGTTGGGAGACATAAACACCATAAGCAGGCGACAGTGGAATACTACTACATAGATAAGGAAAGTTGAAGATGGAAAAGCTAAAGTCCTCTCGTTTGTCATACAATTTAGTTGTTAATTGGCCTTTGTCATCTATAGTCAGTAAAACATCTAAATAGGAAACAGATGTGACAGATTCTGTTATGTCTTTTATTTCAATTTCAAGTTCACTGGGATATATCGAGTCGACATACATGTACAAATGAAAATGACTATTGTTAATTGATAAAACATCGTCAATATATCTGAATGTCGAATTGAAGGCCACAGCTAGGGTTTTTTATTCTTCTCATGTAGAAGTTTTTGAATAAATTCTGTTTCATGGGAATGAAAAAATCAGTCAGATAATAAAGAAGCACAATTAGTGCCGATCGGAATTCTAACAGTTTGTTGGAAAACTTGGTCTTGGAAGACTACATAAATGTTGTAAATGAGGAACTCCAGCATTCTTTTTATATCAACTTCAGAGTACTTGTGTGTGCAATCAGAGTGGTTTTAATGAAGTAATTGTGCTAATGACCAATCACAAGATTTGAAAATTTCCGTGTTCCTTTTTTATTTAAAATGGCGTTGTCTATGATATCAAATAGTCTAGATTTTATTTATCGTGAGGAATTGTTGTATAAAGGGTAGAAAAATCGCCAGTTTTGGTGTTATAAACTTTTGAAAACTGTGGTGATTTTAAAGTTTCTAAAAGTTCTTTCGAGTTTTTGAGGATCCCCATCTGATTTACACCACTTCTAGAATAAGCTGTAGCAAAGTACATCTGAAGTTTCTCCTTTAAAGCAGTTAATATTTTTGTAAGGAGTAAAGATAAGGGCTTGGTAGAGCATTTGCTGGATCCAGCAATGTGTCTTTATTTTTTGATGAAGTTTAGGAATCCAGTACAGGTACGGTAGATCGAACTCACCTTCGTTGACTGGTAAATTAAAAGAAGAAAACACTGAAATATTGTTTTGAAGAATTTTTTCTTTGGAAAGTGAACTGTGAGCTAAAAGCGGATTAACTGCTAAGGTTGCACAACCGTAGAGCTTTAAAAAAAATTGTACCGTAATACGTGTATAGTTTTTGTTTGAAGCTTCTAGCTTTCTGTTGCAAACTCAGAAAATATTATTTACTAATTTACTAAATGCCATGATTATAACGCGTCTACCATTTTTTTGTTTTTGTTTTATTAATTAAATATGGAGATAACGAACAGTATTCAAGCTCGAAAGTTCATTCAAACAATACAAATCAGGAGCAGAGCAAAAACGGACCTCCAAAAACATCAGAGGCGGGATCGTGTACCATGGAGGAGTGAGCATCCCCTGCCGACCCGTCACACCCGCCGTGTGCACCTTGTCATGATCGGGAAATAACGGAACAATCCTTGGACAATTCAGTGCGAAGTAATGGCCTAAGAATTAGTATGAAAAATATCAGTCAGCATTTGACTAAATGAGAGATTGTATTAGCTGACAAGGCCATTGTTTCGACCATAGAACTTGCAAACTGATGACTTTAAACGAAATTGTTGATATTCTTGTTTCATCAACTTATTTGTCAATAGCTCGTCTAGTTTTAGAAATTGATTGTAAATAGAGCATGCTCTTGTGTATCGAGTCAACTGAGAGACATTAACCCCATATTCAGGTGATAAGGGTATATTGCTACATATGTAAGGGAAGTTGACCGTTGAAAAGTTGAATCATCACGTTTATAATAAATTTTTTTGTTAGGTTGTACCATTTACGTCTTTTCTAGTAATTATCCAGATATGAAACAGATGTGTCAGACTCTGTGATATTATTTCAAGCTCACTGGGATATATCGAGTCGACATATGAGTGAAAGTAAGTATTATAAATTGACAATATGTTGTCGATATATCTAAATGTCGAGTGGAAGGTTACAGGAAGTGTTTTCTTCTTCTCATGTATAAGATCTTGAATAAATTCTGCATCATATGACTACAAAAATAGGTCTGCTAATAACGATGCGCAATTGGTACCCATGGAAATTCCGACAGATTGTTGGATAATACTGATGCACGCAAGTTCTTCTCTTTTATAATAAACAACTCAATATCCTTAACATGGTTCTGGCCTAGAGTTCGAGCCCATATGCATTTACGATTAGGAATTAGGATTAGAGATTTTTAATGGTATTAAAATAAGCTTGTTCAGCTCACTTCATTGGGGAGGAGAATATCAAGTACAGTTGTAAAAATTAAGTCAATTTTTAGGTTAATTGTCTGTAGATTATAATGCAACTTTATTTTACATGCATATGTAACTAGATGATGATAATAATAGAACATTGAGCCTTAAAAAAATCACTAATTACTAGGGATGTCAACGAATATTCGAGTACTCGACTATCGTTCGATCATACCGACTATCAACTAAAAATTTTTTAGTCGGTTATTCGTTAAAAATTTGCTATTTAAAAGTAATCTTAAATTCAAGGTAAAAAATTGGATCTGACTTCATTTATTAATGTATCAGTGTTCAGTGTTCTCGTGAGTAAAACTCAGGGAAAGGCTTAACCGGTCTTCGTTTATTGTTCAAAGGATTTTTTTTTCCGGCAAACATGCAGTAGCATACTTCAAAAGATGTCAGATCCAAATTGTAAAGTTTCAACGTGCAATTCGGTATGATCTTGTATAATGCAACTATCAATTAATGAAGAATAATTAAACAGCTGTTACAAATTTGTAAATACATGTAAACTGGGGGATAGTTATGAGCGTAATTTAAAGGTGTTTCTTTCTAATATTGATATCAATCATTTTAAAATTGTATTGATTGTTTGCAAAATTCTCATAATTAAAATTTATCACAAGCTCTCTGTTTTATAAGAGTTACGCTGTAATTCTTTAACAATCACGGGTCACTGACGAGACACATTCAATGGCTTCAGGTAAGATATCAATAACGGGTACATGTACTAGTAATAACCAACATAATTTAGTCAATTACAGCCCAACACCAGTGTGTATTAAAGAAATAAGGCATCGTTTTTAAACTTTTATAGTACGGGTTGGTCAAGCTTTTTTGACTTTGAGAAAATTGAATCATATGAAGGTGCACATACTGAAATCTAGTTTATTTTCAACAGAGGGTACCATATTACTCAAGGATAATATTCAAAGACAAAGAAGTACAGAAATCACTACAAACATCGGGAAAATATATGCGAATAATGACTGTTTTTAATTACTTTATCTTGGTCTAATATATGTTAAGAATAATATAACCTACTTCAAATCGTGTCATTTACAGTAGATTTCCACTTAATCCTTTGTTTATAAAAGGGCAGGTCATTCTATGTGCATAAAACTACCAGGTTAGAACTTTTCAGTGAGAAGTGTTGAAAGGTTCCTTAATCAGTTGTCGTAGGAAGAGAGGTAACTCCCTCAAAATAATTGTACTTTAACCTTGGTATGTAAATCAGTGGTCATCCTCGAAAGCCAGGGGTCCTGAGTCAACGCGTTGCCGTTGGACCCCTGGCATATTTCATTCAATATTCGTGGGCTTGCTTCTCTCATTGAGAAGCACCAATCAAATTAAAGCTTTCATAAATAGTTAGATAAGGATTCAGCTGACACCTCAAATGTACGTGTTACAAGTTGTTTATCATAGAATGCTTAATGTGATTGGTTGAGAGATAAGAAAAACAATCAAGATTTGTAATTTTTCCGAAAGACGTCGCCATAGTCAGTCCACAAATATTGAATGAAATATGCCAGGGGTCCAACGGCAACATGTTGACTCAGGACAGCTGGCTTGCGAGGATGATCAGTGGTGTTAGACAGGAAGATAAAGAACAAATTGAAAGTTAATCCGATATGGTATGTTTACAAATCTTTCCTCTGTTTATATATTTTGTACATTCCTTCGGGTGTATCTCTGACACGGCACAACGAATATGACAAAAAATCATTCAATATAATGCTTTTATTTTGCATGTTTTGCAGATTTAAAATAAACACAGCTAAGATGACTAGTTCCAGTCCTACTTCCTGGGCACAAGAGGTCATTATCTGTGACTTTTGTGACAAAGCCGTTCAGCAGTTCTGTAACAACTGCCAAGTCAATTTATGTGGAGACTGCATCAACAAGCATGTCAACAAACACAAGTCTCTTACACATGATATTGTTCCTTTCAAGAACAGAAAGGTACAACTAATTTTTCCCGAGTGTGAATTTCATCCCAACCAAAGATGTGAAGTCCATTGCCAGAAGTGTGATGTTCCAGTATGCATCAAGTGTTTTCTCGGTCAACATAAGGGTCACGATGCTGTTGAGATATCAGAAATTGTTCAAGGGAAGAAACAGCAAATTAGAAGAGAGATGGAAGAAATTGAATCTGTTATCATTCCAAAGTTTAAAAACAATGATGCTGAAATAGAGAGTAAAATTTTAAAATCAGCTGAGGATTATGACCAGTTAGAAAAGGAAACAGAAAAGCTGAGAACACGTTGGAATGAAGAGGTAGACACCATCTTTAATAATGTCAGAACTTTGATCAAATCTATGAGAGACAATGATATGGAAGCAAAGAGAGCTTACAAGGCCAAGTGTAACAACCTGATTTCAGAAATGATCCAAACTGTAAGACAAAACAAAGACATCCTGCAGACAAACAGAGTGTCTGATGTAGAAAACTACAAATCCAAACTGAAGGAATACAGAGATATGCCTGCTGATATTGATGTTCAAATACCTCCACTGAATTCCAAAACAGACCAAGGAAGAGAACTAAGCCTAGAATTAGGAAAATACATGGTTATGTTGAGACAAGGATCTCCATCAGACCTGACAGATGATGCACTGCATTTATCCACGAAAAGGTTGCTAGACAAAGCTAGAGTGATTGCCACTATATCCTCTAGTGTAGTAAAATCTACATACAGTGTGGCCTGTTTAGGAGCAGATGAAGCTTGGGTAAGTGGTGGCAGCAATATCATAAGGCGTTTTAACATACATGGATTTGAAATAGACTCTGTCAGAATCGATGTCAAAAACACTTTCAAGGGTATCACACTCACAAGACAAGGAGATCTGATATACAGTGACGCCGACAATAACACTGTAAACATAGTCAGACATAAGAAGATAGAGATACTGATCACCATACCAAATGGCTGGCGTCCATGGGGACTGTACTGTACCAGGTCAGGAGACATCTTGGTCAGTATGTCAGATGTCGATAGTCGCCTAAAAAAAATAGTCCAATATCAAGAAGGAGCAGTAAAATGCGAAATAAATAAAGATAAATATGGAATCCCAATCCTTAGCCCCGGGCGGTATATAAATTTTGTGGCTGAAAATCGGAATGGAGATATTTGTGTCTCTGATAATAATGCTGGAAACGTGGTTGTGGTTGATCAAAGAGGAAATGTTCGATTTCGATATGACGGTTTACCAGCTAAGAGGAAGGAACCACTTGATCCTATGCAAATAGTAACAGATTCTATGGGAAACATCTTAGTGGCAGATGAAAACAATGGCTGTCTACACATTTTAGATCAGAATGGGAAATTCTTGATGTGTGTAGACCAATGTGGACTAGATAAACCTAGTGGATTGAGTGTAGATGGTATGGGACGATTATGGGTAGGATTCAAATGTTCAGGAAGCTTGAAAGTGATTCAATACATCAGATGATTTGGTATATCTATATTGGACTCGAAAGGCGTACAACGAAAAAAAAATTCCAACATCTGATTCCCTATTCCTACCACTGAATATCAATACATCTGAATCTGTAAATAGTTTCATAATACTTAATAATGATGAGCCTTAAATTCGTCAACTTTTTGTTTGAAGCTTCTAGCTTGTTGTTACAATCAAAAAAATATCATCAGTGAAAATGGTGATTATAGTATTTGTTATCGCTTTGTTTCTTTTATTAAATAATTCAGGTACAATGAAGTGTATTTATCTATTATAATGTACACTCCATCTTTGATACAATGAATATCATCCCATCCACTCCCCTAGAAAATTACAGTTTCCGTTGTTAAGATCAAATGCCAGTTTTGTTTGTCGATGTTGATTATTTAACTTACATATGAAATCACATGATAATCATATTGGACAAGATAATATTGATGCAAAATATCAAATCGGTCGCAAAAGATTTACGATTTTTAAAGTTTCCTCAAGAAAGTTCAAGGAAAACACTTAATATGAATTTTTAGTATGAAATATTTCAAATATAAATATTCAGTGATGTACAAATCGCAAGATAAGTATAAAGGGAACTCATTTTTTTTAGTGCATTTATTTTTCAAAATAAATCAATCCATCGATATGGAAATGTATTATCAAAATAAAATTACATGTGTAATTTTACCCAAAAATTATAATAAAAAATGTTTCAATGATCGATATCCTAACAAAAGGACGTGAAGTTCACTGGATCTATGTCACGTAATGATGATGATGATTTCTACATGCAGTGTATAAAAAAGTGAAGTGTACTAAGCACGAAGTGTATAAAAATTATCATTGCGTCATTCGAAGCTGAAGCATTAATATAAGACAAAAGAACGAGGGCACATTAGATTAGTATTCGGCAGGAATATGGGAACACTTGAAAAGTGAAAATTTCATTGACATCACATGAAATTTTAGCATTCCTTTGTGATGTATCGGGTTGCAGTGAAATAGGAAAAAGAAATATTTTCCTGATATTGTGTTTTGATTTGCTAAAAAGAATAACTTGAAAATTGGCTAGATGAGTCATTTGGTACAAAATGTTTCATTTTTAAACAATTTGCTATCTGGGTCATCTCTCCATGATTTTGAAAGGTTATTTGCGTGCATCTTAAAACGAGTAAACATTTGTAAAAAAGGAAAGAAGACTCAGAGACCTTAAAAAATTGTGTAAATGCAGTGCGTCATTGTCATTTTAAAATCAACAATGTTTGTGTAGTGATGATAGTTCAGTAGTATGCGTAACCTGTCAGAAGACGTTTTACATTTGTTTTCAATTTGTGATGAATTAGTAGAATTTAAAAACAATTTTCTGATTTATCATTTAGAGTCACTTTTAGAAGACGTTGATTTTTGTATGTACGAGGGGCATTTCAAAAGTTCTGGCAACTGGTGTGCGGTAAATTAATGAGCGTCATTATCATAAATTAAATTATATCAATCCCTCAAAATAGTCTCCGTTGACCTGGACACACTTTTTCAGTCTTGAAATCCACGTGGAAAATGCTGCCCTATAATCCTCTTTCTGTATACGCTTCATACACTGGAATACGGCACTTCCGACTGCATGACGACTTTCAAATCACCGTCCTCGGAGGGCTTCTTTGATAACGGCATTCAACCAAAAATCGCATGGAGCTAGGTCAGGACTGTAGGGTGGATGTGGTAAAACGGCAATACCATTTTCCTTTAAATATTTGGTTACTACCTCTGACCTATGGGCAGGTGCGTTGTCATGGAGGAGCTTTATTCCTCTAGTACTGGTTGTTGGTCGGGTCGTTTTATAGTGCTCCACAACCTGAGACAAGACATTCTCTGTATAAAATTGACCAGTAACACTGCTGTGTTCTGGAACCGGAACTTGAGCAACAGGGCCTTTAGAATAAAAAAATAAGGCGTACATTACTCTCCGGACAGACCGGTTTCTGCGTGCAATTTGAGGCCTTGTATCATTTTCACCGATCCAAACTTTATTATTGAGCTTAGTTTCCGGTTCAAAAAAATATATCCATGTTTCATCACCAGTTACAATCTCCTGATCCCACCTCTGATGTTTGGAGGTCCGTGTTTGCTCTGCTCCTATTTTGTATTGTATAATGGACTTTTGAGCTTGAATACTGTTCGTTATCTCCATATAATTCATTTTAACCACCGAACATGTATCTCTACTGGTGGACAGTCTGTCCCCGAGGATACTTGTCGTTCGGTGCCTATTCATTCATGAGTACACAGAATAACGAAATAATACTGGCAGACGCGTCGCCCAGTATAAAAAGGCATCACTCTTTTGAGTCTATAAGGGACACAGACTCAAGGAGTTCATTCGGTGCCCCTCGGATAATCCTCAGGGATATTAATCATATGTCATATGTACAGTCTTCAGATTCCCAGTTTTGATGTAAAACCAATAGTTCATACAAACAATTGAAAGAATGTAAAGTTTCTATTAGAGATATATTCGAAGACTCCTTTTCCGATCCCATGTCTTCTATTTCAAAATGTTCTGCGAAAAACTGTAAAACCTGTGACATTTTGATAACTAACACTTCTTTTACCAGTAATCTTACTGGACAGAGCTTCTGTACCAAAACTTGGGAAAATCTGAACTGCAAATCTTCTAATGTTGTCTACGAAATAGAATGTAATCTTTGTGGACTTGTTTATGTTGGTGAAACCAAGGGATCACTCAATAAAAGAACATCAGGTCATAGATTTCAGATAAATAATGGGGGTCAGCAACTTTTATACAAACATTTTAATTTACCTGATCATTCAATTTTGTCAATGAAAGTCAGAATTCTGGAAAAGATTTACCACCACACCAAACAGTCCATCACTGAGTACACCTTTCCGTAGACAACGAGAAGAATTTTGGATAAGAAAGCTAGGGACAGCCTTTCCCTATGGATGTAATGATAATGTCGATAGTGTTGGAAATCTTTCTAGTCCACAGTGTAACAATGTAAATGTGATGGGACTTTTTAACCATACACAGAGACGTAAGCGTAGTCATGGGCATTGGTCTTACAATAAACCTTTAATACACGATGTCTCTTTTGATTCATTACTACCTTACGTAAATCACAGTTAGGGTTACATCATATTCGCACCAAACTTTACTCTGTCCCTTTGAAACTTTTAAATAGTCTTCTTGAAAAGGTCAAGGAAAGTCCATTTTTTGATTCCTCGACACCAGAATATAGGCTCGGATCTGTAGTTATGGATATTGCCAATCATAGGTTTTTTAAACCCCCGCGTTTTACTGAAGAAAATGCAGCTAAAACAATCCGTTTTTTCCTTAAACTTCAATATGCCAACAAAGGAATTGACGCGGTTAATATAAGTAATATCCTTAATCACAAAAGGGTCCAGTCTTGTATTCCACCATATTTCAAGTTAAAGACTACACCTTGTATTTCCTACAAATATACATCGACTATTGCTTCCAAACTTTTTAATTACAAGAAAACTTTACAGGGCCTGGATATCGAATATCTGAAACATAATCCTCAATCGTGTTCATGTTCTTCTTCGCCCTATAACTATAGTCCTACTGGACACGTTATTACTGGTGACGTAAATATAGTTAATAATGAGGACCTTAGATCACTAATTTTAAAAGGTCCTAAATTTAGGGAACCCAGATCCTTCAACTGGCGTAAGAATTTCATAAATATTATGGGTTCTGTAGAGGACTACGCCAGGCGATGGGCCAGACATGAAAAAGAAGACCTTGACACTTTGTCAGAATGGATTAAATGTATCAGATGTATGTTAAAATCGCGCATTAAAAGATTGAGAGGCAATATGAAAACCATCTATCCTTCTGTATTCAATAATCCAGAAGTGAAAAAAGAATTAGATAGATTACATGATCAGTACGTACTGGTCCCTGCTGACAAAGCAGGTAACAACATTGTCTTTGTTTGTAAGGCTCATTATATTAAATGTATTTTAGAGGAACTTGGATTTAATTCTACAAGTGGTTATCCAACTTATACTCATAGTTCCCTTTCTAAGGAAGAAATTCTTCAAAATCATATGTCAGTTTTGAATATTTTTAATATTCCTAACAACCAAAATGAATTCGAATAACCATATTTATATTGGATTCCGAAACTTCATAAAAATCCTTACAAACAAAGATACATAGCGGGTTCCAGTAAATGTTCAACCAAGCCTCTATCTTTACTCCTCACTGAGATATTAACAGTGGTGAATGAGAAACTTCAAGAGTACTGTGCAACAATATATTCGAGAAGTGGTGTAAATCAGATGTGGATACTTAAAAATTCCAAGGAACTTTTGGAAATTTTGAAATCACAAGATTTTACCAAAATCAACAGCTTAAAAACTTACGACTTTTCAACTTAATACACAACCATTCCCCACGATAAATTAAAGTCCAGGCTTTTTGATATCATTGACAGTTGCTTTTTCAATAAAAATGGAACTCGTAAATATACTTAACTTGTCATTGGTCATTTGCAAAATTATTTTGTTAAAAAACATTCTGATTGTACACACAAGTACTCTGAAGTTGACATTAAACAGATGCTTGAGTTTCTGATTGACAATATCTATGTGGTTTTTGGAGACCAGGTCTTCCAACAATCTATTGGAATTACTATGGGTACCAATTGCGCCCCGTTATTAGCAGACCTTTTTTTGTATTCATATGAAGCAGAATTTGTCCAAAATCTTGTACGTGAAAAGAAGAAAAACACTTGCTGTGGCGTTCAACTCGACATTTAGATATATCGTCGACGTATTGTCAATTAACAATGGCTATTTTCATTCTTATGTCGATACGATATATCCTGGTGAACTTGAGATAAAAGATACCACAGAGTCTGACACATCTGTTTCCTATTTGGATATTTTACTTGAAAAAGACGTTAATGGTAATCTAACAACCAAGCTTTATGATAAACGTGATGACTTTAACTTTTCAATCGTCAACTTCCCTTACTTATGCAGCAATATACCTTCATCACCTGCATACGGGGTATATATCTCTCAGTTGATACGTAGAGCATGCTCTACGTATGTACAATTTCTAAAACGAGGTAAATTATCGACAAATAAGTTGATGAAACAAGAATATCAGCTGTCTCGTTTAAGGTCTTCATTTCGTTAAGTTCTATGGTCGATACAATGACCTTGTCAGCAAATTTATCATTGAGTCAAATGCTGA